TGTAGAAGGTGTTGAGGTCATCCAGCAGGCTGTCTGTGGAGCTGATGATGCTGGTGGTGGTCCTGTAGTCTGTGATGTGCTGCAGGCCTTGCCACATCCGTCCGGGGTCAGCAGTAGAGTAGAAGCCACTCAGCTTCTCTCTGTACTGCCTCTTGGCTGCTGTGATGGCTTTCCTCAGTCTGTACTTTGCAGCTTTGTACTCTATCTTATGCAAAACATCTAAGCCTGGCAACCATCAGGCTTAGATGTGGTTATGGCTACCATCAGCTGAGCTGCAAAACACTTGGGAACCCTGTTCCTATACAGTATAATGCACATATCAGAATTTAGGGAGCAATACATAGAGATATTTACAATTTGGAATTGTGATTTCACAGTTGACATGTTTAGAGCTGCACAAATGATTCTTTTGCTTGTCCAATATGTAAAGCATTGCTTTGCAGGATTGATAGTATAAAGTTATGTGTATGCAATGGAGACATCTTTCTTTGTTCCATAGAAGGATGTTTTGAAGGCACAATATTGAGACTGATTAAACATGAATGAAAATGGACTGTAAAAACAGTATAAAGTGAATTTAAACAATTTAAACTTGTCTGGTTGAGAGTAATAAAATATAAATTCTACATTTACTTTGTGAAGGAACACCGCAATTTGAAAGCAACGTGATTTGGCATATGAAGTACTATATGGCCAAAATTTACTTGTGTTGTGATTTGGGGTAACTTAGTCAAGACTGAACATTTACAGCCGTCCCTGGTAGGCTAGTGGTTAAGGTTTTGAGTCAAGGTTGCGTCAGGAAGGGCATCCGGCGTATAAAAAAACACGTGCCAAATGTCAACATGCGAGTCGTCAGCGACCCCTAAACGGGAAAATCCAAAAGTGACTTTCCTTTAGTCAAGACTGAACATTTATAAGTCATCATGATTATCTTGACTCCTTTGCTACAATCAGTGTTAATGATAGACTGTTCATTCTGCATTTAATGGATGTGACATAGTATTTGATGCTCTTGCCGCACAGCACAAATGATGTTTGTGTATGCATTTTTAACTAACAAATGAACCTTAGGCAGGAAAGTAAGTGTGGAGGAAGCTGTCTGTGTCTATGGAGACAGGAGTGTGACCACCAGCCATCCATTGCACAATATTCTGAAGTAGCTGGAGCATCGATATGTTATGTGGCCTTATGAGCTACAAAATGATTAGATTGTTTTTCTTTTTAATTAATGAGTTGTTGATAGATGAGCTTGTTGTGAAAGTTTGACAGATCAAACTGGGGCTGCTTGACAAACTATATTACTGTGAAATGCAGAAGAATTCAAAGAAAGGTGAACCCAGGGCTTTGACTTTTACGCCATAAAACATGTTAAGAATGTTCTTAGTGTGTGTTGAAATAGAGATTTTCATAAAGATTCATATCTCTACAATTTACCTTTGCCAGTAGTTGTTTCAGTAGCAGCAGTATGGCAGTGGAACAGTGGGCTAAGCAAGGGGGAGTTCACGTAACACAATGTAGAGCACATTTCATTCATGCAGCAGAGACTGGAAAAAAATAGTTGTGTGATGTGAGTAATGGGGGCCTGTGGCCCAGTACAGCTTTATGTCTAGCAACACCCCTGCCCACCACTGCTAAATATTCCACCCTCCAAGTAAAAACGTAAATCCTGTTTATTGTAGCCTATGTGATCATTTGTATGTGACATTTTTGAAGGTGATTAATTCTAAAATGAAGGAAAATAGCATTCAAATATATTTTCTGGGCTACTGTAGATGTGAAAACGGTTTAAATAATCATTTTATCTTTATAATTATTAAATAGAATGTAGGCAGCAGAAATAGTCATAATTTTTTTCCTTCAAAAAGACGCGCGAAACCAATTTCAATTTCGAGCGCTCACGGAAGAGGATCTGTATGACCGGACTGTGTGTAATACATGAGAGTCATAAGCTGAGGCAGATCAGTGACATAGAACAAACTCAGCCACCATTCGTCCATCAGTAACCCGCATGGCACCGTCACTGTATTTGAAACACGTAGGCAGACCCTCTGAAACAACTCGGGACTGCGCACAGATTAGAAAAATGCAAACAAATCGCATAACAAGGCTGGTTAATATTTAGATAATTTCCCGATGAAGCATAAGATTGGCGTTTTCAAATACCTTCCTCCCAAGGCCCTATCAACACAATGACCCGTAGGGTTACGAGATGCGGAACGCCGTGATCCATCTTAAGGATAAGGACACGAGAGTCCGGAGGAGGCAGCAACATCTGTAACCATTTATCGTGACACACGCACCTTCACATCCCTGATCCTTCACATACACAGACACACTTACCAAAGTCCGAGCAGAGTGAAGAGCAGCCAGGGGCTCATGGTTTTGTCCTGCACAGCTTTTACAAAAAGCCGCTTCATTGTGGCTTCCACAGCTGGGAGTCGGCCTTAGCTGTGTCCCCGGAATGATAGAGGAAGTTGGATCCTTGTGTCGCCGGGTCGCGTCGAAATGCAGCCGATAACGGTTAAAGGTAGCGACGATTGGATGTGAGAGATGCGTCCATGGTGTGCGTGTGGAGGGGGAGGATATGGCAGAATGAGCGAGGCTGCGGTCGGGAGCTGACTGCGCTCTGCTCCATCTGCAGTGCTGCTGACAGGCTGTGGTGACAGACGGTGCACTCACACTGCCACGGCTGGAAACATCCTATGTATCCTGAATGACGAGTTACTGCTCGTTATTGTTTACTGTGTTACTATTATTCTGACTAAAGCACGCTGAGCTGTTTATGCAGAAACAGCCTATTTCACATTCACAGCAAGTGCAGTGTCATCTGTGCAACGTCACCGTGCAGGAGCAGTTACATGTCGCATCATACAGTGTGCTGACTACTGGAAACTGTCCTCAGGGGACAACCACATACTGTAAGTCTCTGAGCAGCTGAGTGGATTCAGCACCTTGCTGGAGGGCATCTTGAGAGAGTTGGGGAGGCAAGTGTCACTTTCATTACATCAGTCTGCCAGCAAGGCCGTACCCAGGATTTTGGCAGCATTCACTACATACGTTATAGCTACAGTAGTCATGTCCAAGGCGTCTATCTATCTATCTATCTATCTATCTATCTGTCTGTCTGTCTGTCTGTCTATCCATTCATCCATTCATTCTGCAAAGCTCTGGGTAATTTTGAATGACGTTTTGGGTGTGAGGGGTACGTTCTGCTTTCTACATGCCTACATAGGGCGAGGTAAGGTTAGGTAAAGTCTAGTGACAGTTGGTAAAATTGTGCCCTCAGATTGCCATACATGATTTCAGTTCCATGTACAAACATGAAACTGAGGTCAGGAAACCCTGCTGCCTGTGGTGTGAACAAATTAATTGCTAAATAACAATGCATGTGAACTGCAGCTTTCAGTTTGGTGGTAGTTTATGATGTGGCAGTGAGTGGCACTGAGCCATGTGAACAGAGCTGCTTTATGTTTCAGAAACAGCTGTTTTGCAGTTTTACAGATGAACTACACCTTTACAGTGCTGACAGTTAAAAACAGCAAACAAGCAATTAAATGTTTATCTGCATAGTACCTATCTTATCCAAAGTTACAAAGTGCTTCATAGTAAAACGAGAAAAGAAAAAAGTAAAAGTTACCCTCAGACAGAATAATATAAAACAGCAAAACAAATTAAACAAATGGGGAGCTCTAGGAGGAGCCGGTATCAAATGCCAGACTGAATAAATAGGTTTTCAGATGGGAATGAAAAACCCCAATATCAGAAATTGCCCAGATGTCAGGGGGTAGACTATTCCACTTTTTGGAAGCTGCTACCATAAATGCCTGATCACCAGAAGATTTAAGCCTGGATCTAGGAACAACCAGTAATGAAAAATTAGAACATCTAAGAGACCTCTGTGGTATAAATGTCATGATTCTGTCCTGCCTGTTTCCAGTCTCGTGCTTTTATTTTGTCAACTTCATGTTATAGCCATATCTCAGTTATGGACTTTTTACTTTAATCAGCACTCATTGTTTACACCTGTTTTCACCCCGTTATAAGCAGAACGTGACAGGCAAAATTATTAGTCATGTTGTCAGTAGAACATCATACTCAGTTTTTGTTATTTACTGTAAACTATACTCAACTCAGGTTTTGATGACTAGAAACCACTAAATTACCGTACTGGTGTGTGTCATAATTTACAGTGTCCCTCCGGTAAAAAAAAGAAGTGATTCTTGCAAACCATTGTGCATCAACCAGGTGTTACAGTAATTTACATGGTAAGAATAGATAATTTTCTGAATGATTCCATCTAACCTCATCTAACCAATCACCATCGCCCCACGTTACAGTATATGGAAGAATCGAAACAAAAGATCAGACTGTACTCACATTTCTACTGTACTGTCAATAGTGGTACTTACATACAGACAACAAAGGAAACTATACATAGTCTATTTACCTAGCAATGGAAACATACTGTAAAAAAGACAAAGTGGGAAGAACTATACATGTACAACAGAAGGTAAAGGTGAGATTACGTGGCAGTTTTCCTATGCGTCATGTCGGTCCTGTCTGTTGGGCCACAGATTCTCATCCACATCACAACAT